TTGGGAGTGCCCAATACCTGATATTTCCAGAGAAGGCAGCCTCACCCCCAAAACAATCCTTTCCCTCCTCTTTCAGACGATGGTGATCAGTTTGCGCCCTGGAGGATGAAGCTGCATTTCCTTTGTATCTCTTTATTTTAGCTCCTAGAACTGATGATTTTATGATTATTTATTAATAACTCTTATTTTTAAAGAAAGATGGAATTATAACTCAGGGTACGTCTACACTACGAGATTAATTCGAATTTAGATAATTCGAATTTGGGAAACAGATTGTATAAATTTGATTGTGCGCGGCCACACTAAGCACATTAATTCGGTTTTTAACCACATTAATTCGGTGGTGTGCGGCCACACTACCCCATTAATTTTAACCACATTAATTCGGTGGTGTGTGGCCACACTACCCCTAATTCGAATTAACAAAATCGATTTTGGTGCTACTCCGCTCGTCGGGGTGGAGTACAGAAATCGATTTTAAGTGCCCTTTAATTCGAAGTAACTGGCTCCGTTGTGTGGACGGGTTAAGGATTAATTCGGATTAACGCAGCTAAATCCGAATTAAAGTCGTAGTGTAGACCAGGCCTAAGGGTGAACAAGCTAAAGCACGTGATGCAACCCACAGCCCACCAGAAAGTTTCACGGATCTTCTCTCTCTCTATTTCCTGACTTCCCTAAGCTATGGAATGCCATAGACGTTCAGCTACAAGGATGCTGTTAAAATAGATTATCCTGCTAGTATTCTTTGACTATCTCTCAGCAACTTGCTTTCCAGTGACACTCTCACCCCCTTTTCCTTACTGACTTCATTCATAAAAGGTTTGCATTTTTTAAAGCTAATTCTCTAGGAGGGTTCAGTAGTGATATAGAATCTAATGCAGTGAGGTCCATCTTTTTATTTAGCCTACTGAGCCAGAGGCACAAGGACATCAAGTGACTTGCACAAGATTGCACAGTGAGTCAGTGACTGCTCTGGGATGAGAATCAAGATCCTCCTAGCTCTCAGTCTTTTGCACTAGTCACTAGATGCAGGACCTATATTAATCAACAAACATATCTGTTAAATGAAGCTGCTGGGTAAGGGCTCGGACTGTAGTTTGTACCTTCATTTGAGAGCCGCCCTGGTAGTTCTTGTGGAACTTTGCCCTGGGAAACTATGAAAGATGTAGTCAGTGTATTATTTAATATGCATATATACACCCACAAGTGTGCTAGGTGCTTTACAGACAAAAAGCACAACACAGCTCCTGTTGGGAAGAACTTTTGCTAAAGCGCCGATGCTACAGGCTGTTCCAGGCAAGAGAACCCCAGTGGGGACCCCAAGGTTTCTGCAGGGGTGGCTTCTTGTACCCATGTGAAATAGCTTTCAGCTGCCAGGCCTGAATGAACAAGTCAAAAAGGAGTGCGAGAAGGAAGCAATGTGAAATAATATTTTTAATTATTACGATTTTACTTATTTCCTTTTTTAAAAATCCTTTAAAAACTAACTCCTGATACTTACATCTTCAGGGATTATTGTTACTGAACCTGTATCGAACTGACTGCCCCTTCCCCCTGGATCCAGAAATTGCTGCCTAAAGATACATTAGATAAAATTTGATAAATGCCTAAGTGACTTAGGAGCCTAAATCTCATGGGGACTTGAACTCCTAAATCACATAGGTGTTTTGAAAATTTTACCCATTTTCAGCTAGTTTAGGCCCCAGATTAAGGTTTGGTATGAAAGAGGAGTTCTCATATGACCAGAGACAATCTCAAATATTTGTTTGAGGGCCATGTGAGATGCATTTGAACTAGGGCTGTCAAGCGATTAAAAAAATGAATCATAATTAATCGCATTATTAAAAAATTAATCACGATTAATCACACTGTTAAACAATAATATAATACCATTTATTGAAATATTTTTGGATATTTTCTACATTTTCAAATATATTGATTTCAATTACAACACAGAATTCAAAGTGTACAGTGCTCCCTTTATATTATTTTTTATTACAAATATTTGCACTGTACAAAACAAAAAGAAATAGTATTTTTCAATTCACTTAATACAAGTACTGCAGTGCAATATGTTTATCATGAAAGTTGAACTTACAAATTTAGAATTATGTACAAAAAAAATAACTGCACTCAAAAATAAAACAATGTAAAACTTCAGAGCCTACAAGTCCACTCAGTCCTACTTCTTGTTTAGCCAATCACTCAAACAAGTTTGGTTACATTTGCAGGAGATAATGCTGCCCGCTTCATGTTTACAGTGTCACCTGAAAATGAGAACAGGCGTTCGCATGACACTGTTGTAGACAGCGTCAAAAGATATTTACGTGCCAGATGTATTAAAGATTCATATGTCCCTTCATGCTTCAACCACCATTCCAGGGGACATGCGTCCATGCAGATGATGGGTCCTGCTTAATATCAATCCAAAGCAGTGCGGACTGGCGCATGTTCATTTTCATCCTCTGAGTCAGATGCCATCAACAGAAGGTTGATTTTATTTTGGCGTTTTGGCTCTACAAGTCAGATTGGAGGGGGAAAAGGTTGTGGTGCCTCCCAAGCAACATCCACTTGCATCACCAAAAAGAGTCATCAGTAAATTGTGCAGCTCTTCATAATAAGCTTGTCTCTCTCCTTTCTGACATGCTTTGCTCAGCAGTGAAATAGTTAATGTTGAAATATAAATCATCATACCTGGACATGTAACACTGTTAACACTCCACTGAGAATAATGTAGCCATTCATACCTCTCAGTGCGCTATGGGCTGTTCGAAGACTCAGCCAGACATCATCACACTTGGGTCAAGTTTTTAAGGATTTCTTCTCAACCCTAACAGCTGAAGACTTCAAAAAATAAAAAAGGAAAGCTGAAATTCTGGAGCACAAGGCTGCCAGTCTCAAAATAAGTAACGGGTCACTGGCCTGGGCCAGTTAGAATCCTGCCTGGTGGGCAACGAACATAAGAATGGCCATACTGGGTCAGACCAATGGTCCATTTAGCCCAGTATCCTGTCTTCTGATAGTGGCCAATGCCAGGTGCTTCAGAGGGAATGAACAGAACAAGCAATTATTGAGTGCCATCTCATCGTCCAGTCCCAGCTTCTGGCAGTTGGAGGTTTAGGGACACCCAGAACATGGGATTGCATCCCTGACCATCTTGCCTAATAGTCATGGAACTTATCTAATTAATTTTTGAACCCAGTTATATTTTTGGGTTTCACAACATCCCCGGGCAACGAGTTCTAGAGGTTGACTGTGCGCTGTGTGAAGAGTACTTCCTTTTGTTTTAAATCTGCTGCCTGTTAATTTAATTGGGTGATGCCTGGTTCTTGTGTTATGTGAAGGAGTAAAGGGAGACTGTAGGTGGGGAGAAGGACACACTTCAGCATCCTAAGGCATGGTGGGGCAGCTGTGCTCTCCCTGAGACACAACCTCTCCCAGAGCTGTGGTGGGGCACTGTGGCTACATACACCCAGTGCAAGGCCTGTGAAGTACAATTGAGACCTGTAATTGGCAGGCTGTTTCTGCATCAAGGTCCCTTCCCTGAGGAACTGCTACAATTGAGATTGTACATTTAAAAAGTGATGTGAATCATTCTGTTCCTTGCAAACTAAGGGGTTGTTACATCCACATCCATACCCCCGCCTCCCCCCACAAATATTGATGCGCTTGTGGGGGCAGCAATCTCCAAGAAGGGACTCGGTAGGGGAAAAACAAGTGGTAGTATCCCCATTGCCCTCCGCAAAGGGAGGGCAGCTTTAAATTCCAGCAGGGGCCTAATAGGTAGAGGCAGCATGGATCCAGCACTGGATCATTGCATCCCTTGGATGGATTCCCTGGTCCTGCCCCCACGTATAGGGCTGTGACTGCCTACTCCAAGTTCCTCCATTGAAATGGTAGCTTGTCCTGGTGCACCATTGCTCCTGTCTGATTTTGTCACCAGGATCACTTCGCTTGCAGAACATAGGCAGTGACTCTAACCCTAGATTTCTTACTTCACCTACAAGTTTTCAACGGATCTTCTCTCTCTCTATTTCCTGACTTCCCTAAGCTATGGAATGCCATAGACGTTCAGCTACAAGGATGCTGTAATATGTTACTTTCATCAGTGTTTATCCGACTGGATCCATGGACCCCAGTAACTTGGGGAGCCCTTTCTGGTGGTTCGCAGGACAACCAGAAGAGATGGAGATTGCAGTGGGAAAGGTTGGGTAAGGAAGAGACTGGGTTGGTTCACAAGCCTATACCATGTAATAGTCTATAGAATGAGGCTGCCCTGAGTACGCCCCCCACCCCCCAGGATGGCTGTTGGCATGTATCTCATTGCTGCTTTATATTTTTCCATGGTTACGGTCTCTGTGTAACACTCTTCCTGACTGTACCCCTGTCTTTTCTCCTGAATAACCATATGTTAACAGGTAGTAGCTATTTCAATGTTACTGTTTCTCACTGGCCAGTCCCCTCCCTCTGGCCCTTTCCCAGCGTTATGGTCCAAGTCTGGGCAGCGGTGCCTTTCCCCCAGTATTACTGTCGCTCTTTCGGCACAGAGCCTCTCCCCGGTAATTGTATCGCTCTCGGCACCGTCTCACGCCCCCGCTGTGGGTGTATTGTGCTGCCTGTTCAGGAGGTGTGTTCCCCCCCCCCCCCAGACACACAAACTACAGGATTTCTCTCTGGACACCGCCTCGTCCTCTCGGATTACAGTCCTGGGCTCTCACAATGCACCCTGCCCAGGCGGACTGTCTCTCTCGTTAGAAAATGGATGGGTTTTCTGCTCCTCCCCACACCCGCTCTCCCTACAGCGCCTGTCTCCCCCCCCCCCCCGCGCCCCCGCTCCCCCCGGGCCGGGAGTGACGCGCTCCGCAGCGCCAGCCCCTCTCCGCGGGCAGCAGCTGGTTGTCAGCCGCTCCGGAGCGCGGCCAAGCCAGCGTCCCCTCCCGTCCCCGCACCGAGCCGCCGGGCTGGCGCAGGCCGGCAGGCCCCAGGCGCGGCCCCGGCCCCGGCCCCGCAGCAGGTAGGCGCCGGGCCCGGCTCCCCGGAGCGGGCGGCCCAAGGGGGGTTAGATTGTAACCCCCAGTTTGGCGGGGGGGGGGTACACAACTGCCCCCTGCCCGGGCCTAGAGAGGGGGGTGCCCCGCCGGCTGGGGGGGCAGGCGTCGTGCCGGGGCCCCCTGGCCCTCGGGGGAAAGGGAGTGTGTTGGGGTGGGGCGCGCAGCGGGCGCTGGTGGTTGTTGGGGGCGTGGAGGGGGCGCACAGGGGTCACTGGGAGTTGAGGGGTTTGTTAGGGGCGCACAGGGGTCACTGGGAGTTGAGGGGTTTGTTAGGGGCGCA